CCCCAAAACCCCAAAACCCCAAAACCCCAAAACCCCAAAACCCCAAAACCCCATGAAAATTATTCAAAATTGGAAATGAATTTAACGTTCTTTAGTACAAGTAAGGATCTTTCAGATTGTCCAGATACACTCTGTTCTGGTTATTTGGCTTCAGATCCATTCTATTTCTGTACAGCTCTTTGTTAAACTCCTCTGTTTTAAGCATGTACCAGCCTTCTTGAGGTGGCCTGTTCTTTTCATATTCTTTAGCTCTTTGGAGATTAAGCATCTCTTTTTCTATTCTTCTTTGTTCGTAGAGCAAGGATTCAAAAGCTTTTAGCATATACAGATTCTTTTTGCCAGTTTTTCCTTCTTTCATCAATGCCTCGTATCTATTCCTTGCTTCTCTGTTTATTTCTGGGTCTGTAGCAAGTATCTCATCATAATCAGGGTCCCAAGTGCCATTGTTCATCTTGATCATTTTGACATAATCCTTTATTTGGCTAATTTTGTTCTCCAGACCTTGAATAGCTTCTGCTGTTTCATCGACTTTCATCTTGTTCTTACTCTCATCGTGATAGTGTGAGTAGTAATTGGTGTTGAGGACGTCATCCTTTATCGACTTTACATGTGTAGTAAGTTTTTCAATGTGATGTGGCCTGATAAACCATTTTCCATCCTTTTTACTAGGTACTGTCGACTTTACATATCTCTGATAGTAATCTGCAGGGAGGTTCAGTGGGTAGGAGCTGGTGGCATTGTCATAAACAAGGTAGTCTTTGTCAATAAGTCCGAACTTTTTGATAGGATTAAAAGGTTCACCAGTATCTGTATCTCTATATTTCGCCATCCATTCTCGTTCTTCCTCCTCTCGCCTCTTTTTCTCTTCAATAGCTTCTCTATCCTCTTCATCTTCTTCATCAAGATGAGTGAATTTGGGTTGTTCTCCTTTCCCGAATTTGTCTCTGAAAGATGACTTAGGTCTTCCAGAGGCTAGATTAAACTCTTCACTTTTGTCTCGATTGACTTCTTCAAGGTCAATCATTCTCTCGAAAGTTTCATCTATAAAACTATCTTTACTTTCTTCTTCGTCGATTTTGAGCCCGTTTTCTGTTGAGAGTTTCTTTTCGTTCTTTTTACGAGCAGAATTCATTGCTTCTCTGAAAGCTCCCAGCCTTTGAAAAGCTCTCATCATGACTTCTTCTCCAGGCTCACTGAGATTCTCGCTGGGAAGATCTTCAGTAGTGAAAGGTTTGTTATTGAACATTTCCATCTCTCTGGTTAGTCTTTGGCCGAATTCAAGATTATTATCTTTACTCAGCCCAATGATGTTAAAGTACACCATATTTATATCCCTTGCAGTCGTAAACAAAGTCTTTGAAATGGCCATATGTAGAATTCTGATCTTGTAGCCCAAAGAGAATACCTCTTCTCTCCTTTTATCCATTATTTTGCTTATATGAGCTATAAAGACATTATTTTCGATAGTTTTCTTGATTTTAGTGTTTTCCACCTGAAGTTGTCATATTTTTTGTCATGTCACATCCCTACATTCATCAATAAAAGCTTCGATAGCGCCACAGCCTTCTTTGAACTTCTCTTTTAATTTTTCCAAGGTCTGTCTGATCAGCTCAAGAGGGATAAGGTCTTCGTCTGTAATTTTTACTTCAGGATTATCTCTTTGTTTTAGCTCTTTCTTAAGAATTTCAACCTTCTCTTTAATGTATTCAGCTTTAGTATCGTTCAAGAGTCCGATCATATGAGCATAGTCTGCTTTGGAAGGAGTCATTTTTACGACCAGGTCTGCAACATCAAAGAATGAGAAGAAGAATTGATTGAGCACACATTCTCTTGAGATTTTATTCACAAAGGTATTTAGCATTGTGAAAGTTGAATAAAACCTGGTCCTGTAGTTATCCATGCATTTTACCATATCTCTAATCTCCAATATTTTGAAATCATTTAACTCAAGGAGAAAGTCATTTAAGGTGTTTTCTTGCTTTATTAGAGTATGCCTCTCTTTCATAAGTTCGGTGTAATCCTTCCTACATGCTTCAAGGAGTTCTTTATCAACAGTGATCTCACCACAATATTTAGTGATTATTCTATCAACTTCTTGCTCTTTTTCGTTAAATTTTTTCCGTTGTGAGCTCTCTGAGATCCTTTCCTTGCCTCCAATAATTGATCTTGTCCTTTAACTCGATGTTCTTCAGATTCAGAGTCTTTGTGTTTAATACTCCTGAGAGGTTCTCTTCTTGCTTAAGGTATTCATCATACGAAGTAGTTAAAGCTTCCATTGAAAGTTTTATTTCCTCTGGTTTTTCAGCTATGAGTGGTCAGAGAAACTTACCTTTAGTTTTCTTCTCGTCTCTCTTCCTAGACTTCTTCCTGGAAAACTTTGACTCCTCATTTTTAGTGTCTTGTTTGTTGCTACTCTTCTTAGAATTGAGAGTGTCGTGGAAGCCAAAGGGAGAATCTTTGGAATCGGCTGTGCCTTTCCTCAGCCATTTCTTCATAACGCTCTATACAAGATTATTTGGAGACTTACCTTCGCTGCTTTCGCTTTGGTCGTAGACATCTCATTTTCCTTCTTCTTGTTCTTCTTACAGTAAAGACTGTAGAGTTCTTTCAAATCAGTGTCTGTTAATTTTTGGCCTTTCAGGACCATTTTTGCAAACTCTAAGAATTTGCTCTTTAAAATAATTTTAGGATTTGTGCCCATTAATTCGTTATATAATTTCCTCATTCCCTTCAACTTGACATGGAATAACGCCCCGATAACACTCTTAGCAAGCTTAGAAGCTTTCGGGCTTTCCTTCTTAGCATTAACCTCTTCAAGCTTGAGCTGGCATTCTTTGAAGAAAGTCTTGGAATTTTCCTTAATTTGTTCTTTCCTTTTACGATTTTCTTCTTTTTTATTTTCTTTTTCATAAATATCTCTAGTCTCTTTTGAAGTGAGCCTTCTACTTTCTCTTTTTTCAATGATCCTAATAATATCTTCTACTGTCTTCTCCTTGTTGATAGGCTTGTTAAGGACTTCTGGAGGAGGCCTAATGAGATGATCAGGAAGAATTTTCTGGAAAATCTCCTTCTCATTGTACTTTATGGGGCTCCCAGTGATCCCCATTCTTGAGTACCGAGGTGGGCTAAGCTTATCTACTTCTGCATGGACTGGATTGATGCAGGCCATGCTTGGATGTGAGAACTTTGGTAGTTTCTTGATTTCCTTAAATTCAACTGCTTTCGAAACTTCGAGAGGATGTTTCGTTGGAGACTCTAGCATTAGAATAAAATTTAAATATTTTCAGTTTAGTAATTCTTAAAGGGGTTTTGGGGTTTTGGGGTTTTGGGGTTTTGGGG